GACTGTTGTATGCGATCGTGGATATGGATAACTACCCGATGATGTTCGTAAAAGGCTTCTAAAAAATTACATTTAACTTTAATCTATCTTTTCTGAATCTTTTACTTTCTCCTAATATGAAAGCACGATTTCATTGGGCATTTTTGCGCTGTTTCGTTAGAGAACGAATTTTGGAGGAGTCTAATAGATAACAAGGTATAATCTAACTATTGCTCTATGAAAAAAAAAAGAAATTTTTGTGGAAATAGTCTCCTTGACGACTGAGCCTCTCCTCGATTCGATTCGGGCAAACAAACGGGAAATTATCACTCCCACCACTAAGCAATTTCTTTAAAAGCTATTCCAGAAAATATTAGAAAGGTTTTTAAGAATAAAACAAAACAAAATTTGATCTGCACCCCATTCCATTTGTCAATTCAATTCAAATTTGTCTGCTATGAGTCAATAAATTCGATCAGCATGTTGCAAATCGAATTATATACCATTAAATACTCGTAAAATACGAGTAAAGCTAGTGTTTATTTCAAAGAAATTGTCTATTTTTCTTCACTGATGAAGATGTTTTGGGATTTGATTTGCTGGCCTGTTTGGAAACGTAAAAGCTGATGGCTAGATCAGTTAGAATTGGCTTGATAAAATTCCCACAACTTTATTCCATCTCTTGACAGTATTTCAATTCAAGATCATAACTTTACACTGCACAATTTAGCATAAAAGTTGTACACTAACAATTCTTGATTTGAACTCGAGGCGAAAATTGTCGTACCGTTAACACAGCACAGAAGCCTAGACCAAATTGAACTAATAGAGTCCAAAAAATGCCAAAAATGTGAGTCCAAAAATGCCTAGATATGCCTAATATTTGAAAAACATAGAAAGAAAACCTCAATGATTATTTTTCCATCAATTTGTCATTGTCACTTTTCTTATCGAATTCTCTACCTGTTTTCCCTTTTCGTTTCTTCAATTTTCTCCTTTTCTTTCTTCTTTTTCTTTTCTCGTTTTCTCGTGAAAAAGCGTAGAATTTGTAGCATGTTATTTGCTTGTTTTTCTTTTTTTTCTTCAACCCAAGCCGTCATTCAGAATATAAAAAACAAGAGAGATGGATGGAAAAAGATGACCCGTTTAACTGATGCTCAGTCGTCATGCAAGAAACATTCATAGCATTGATCTAAGAAATTGTGATTGCGATTGGAAAACATTGAAATTGAAAAGAATTTGAAACATAAAGAGTCAAAGGATTTGAAAACAACATTGATAAAGGCTGAAAGCTAAGGGATTTATCTAACTGGCATTTCAAGGTAAATTTGTGGGTCTATCCCAAAACAGCGCCGCCAAAACAGCGCCGCCAAAACAGCGCCGACCAAAACAGCGCCGCCAAAACAACGCCAATGCAAAAACACCCAAAACAGCGACGAGCAAAAAAAATATTTTTTAGATTTTTGCTTTTGCTTTTTCTTTGCTGTTTTTAACTTTTTCTGTTCACTTTTGTGTTTTTAGGGTAAAAAAAGGCGGAGAATCGCGACCTAAGGCTTTTTTAAAGATTTACACATAGAAACCTGCGATAGCGTTTATTAAAGTGATTTTAACCAAAAATAGCAATTTTTTTTCTTTTTACTGCCTGTTTTTTAACGTTTTCACTAACTTTTTATTTCTACTACGGATCACTTGAAAGCTCTAGCCGTTTATGTTCATCATCGCTAGTGTTATGATGTTTCAGAGTTTCTTGGACTATTAATTTGATTCTATTTTGATGTTTTTGATGTTTTTTTTATGCATCATCTAATTGTTATCGTTTATTGTTGTTGGTCATGTTATTTTTAAATAAATTATCAAAATTAAAAGCTGCTAATAAAAAAATGAATTGTACATTGTAAAAGAGAAAAAACTTTGTTTTGCATCGGCGCTGTTTTGGGCGTTTTTTCATTGGCGCTGTTTTGGGTACGGCGCTATTTTGGGTACGGTACGGCGCTATTTTGGTGGTACGGCGCTATTTTGGGTACGGCGCTATTTTGGCGTTTTGGGTGGCGCTGTTTTGGGATAGACCCAAATTTGTTCCTAGCTAGATCATTGTTTACGTTTTAGAAATAGAATTTTGTTTATCTTTGAATATAATACCTAGTAGCTTTTGGCTACTTGAACCCACCACAGAATGCTTTCCAAAACATGAATAACTTTAGATAAAGAGATAAAGAACACAGTTAGCATAAGTTTCAAGCATTGTTTTATTAGACAAATGACCCAATTACAAGAATTATTGCTAAACGAGAAAAATGGGTTATAAATCAAAATATCTTCACTCGACTTATAAAATAGTTGCTATAGAAAAGGAAAAATATGTGTGGATGAAGTGGGAGAAGACTTTTTTCAGAGCTGAATTCAAAATTTCGACTTTGAAAGAAAAAAAAAGGGTGGATGAAAGGAGGAAAAGAGGCAAAAAGAGAGGTTCCCATTGGGTATTGTCTCAACAAAATGTGTGAAGTGAATGGAAAAGAAAGGAAAACAAATGAAATGAAAGGGATTAGAAAAAGAAAAGAATTTCAGAAGATCCGACTCGAATTCGATACACATTTTTGGGAAACCCTTGCCCTATTAGTGCTCATCAAAAATGAAGTAAATGGGAAGAAATGTGTCTAGAATGGACTAGGACTAGAGCTTTCATGAATAGATCACAGAAAATCTTCATTTTGTTAGAAATAGAGAAAAGAGAAAGGAGAAAGATTGAGTTTTGGCACTAATAGGTAATTTGTTAGCGATTTTGTTGATTCTTCTCGGAAATCCGGATCTTTTCATTGTGAAAAGCTATCATATACAAAACCCAATTATTTATTTAGATTTTATGATGAAAATGAATAACAGAGAAAATTCCATGTTAGAATGGTTATATAACAAAAAGAGGGCCCATCCATTGAATGAGAAACGGGAAAATTTTGTTAGTTTTTCTCGAAAATCCTAGTCTTTTCGTTGTGAAAAGCTATCATATACAAAACCCAAAGCCAATTCGATTCTCTTGGTACTTTTCTTGAGACAAATGGTTAAATGGTTAAATGGTTAAAGACAAATGGCTAAAATAAACAGCGTCAATGGGTTGAGGCTAAAGTATTTCACAGCGATCAGGCTAACGAAGAGAGCTCCGAATTGGGAACGAGTCTCATTAAAACCAAATTCAGTCTTGGTTTTAGTTGATTATGGTTTGGAAGGATGGAGAATTTATAGCAAAAATCCAGCCGAATTTGAGGCAAGAATTGATCCAAGACATTTAGGCATAAGGACTTCTCTTTTGTTCTGTAAATGATTGAGATTTAATGTTAAAAATTTGTGCCCCGGAGTTTTCAGAGTCGTAGAAACTGATGGCAGAGTTTATTTTAACCCTCTGTCTCAAGAAAAGCCTCAAAAGAATCGAATTGGCCTTTGTTTTGTATATGATAGCTTTTCACAATGAAAAGACCCGGATTTTTGGAGAAAAACTAACAAAATTTTCCCGTTTCTTATTCAATGGATGAGGCCTCTTTCTGTTATATAGCTATTCTAACATCGAATTTTCTCTGTCATTCATTTCGATCATAAAATCTGAAAAATCTGTTCGAACTTCGAGCTTTTTCAAGGATTAAACCATGTCTTCTCTTAAAATTCAGTTAGTATATAGGGATTATTGAAAAATGCTAGTAAAATTTCTTGATCCGTCTTTGAATCTCACTAGTTTCTCTAGTCAGTTTATATATAATAGGTTGATGCATAAGTCTTTTTGTTCCTTTTCGTCTGCCGTTTCAAGCCAACAAATGCACCAATTAAACTACGGTTGATTTCATTAGAAAAACCAATTATTTTTCTGCAAAATAACATTAAAACGGGTTTAAAAATATTTTATGCCTGGATTTTCTTGAGAGTATGAAGTCGGGTAGTCAAAAAGGGCTAACTCGATGATGCGGTTTAGACACCTTAGCTAAAGAAAACCTATCTTCGTGTCAATAGATAAAGATAGAGAAAAAAAACGTTTGATATTTCGCCAAAATTTCAGAGAAATTCATTCAGCCAATTTTTCCGTAGAGTTTTTTATAGATTTTTACGAAAAAGGCGTTTTTCACTCTCGAATTTGCTTGAAAGTGAACCGAAATTGATTTAAAAAGATGGAAATTGAACAAAAAAACACTTTTTTTATAGAGCAAACTATAGATTAATTGGTGAATTTGTTACTTTTTAACAGAAGTACGAAAAAAACGAAAAGACTTATGCATCAACCTAATATATAAATATATATATAAATAAAGGCCTTGATCAATGTAATTAAACTTAAATTGATCTAGAGTTCCTAAAAGTTTTGAGAACAAGAAATTTCAAACTTTTGATCAATTTCTATTCACTTGATAAGTAAGATGGGATTGTGTAACCCTTTATGAGTCCCCCAACTGCACGAAACGATTCAGAGGTGATACTTGTGAAAGTTCTTCTGTACAATTCTTCCAAATCCTCATGTTTTACGTTATGCTTGTTTTTTTTGTTTGATTCTTGTGTCCCTTACACCCGTTCAAGCCCTCTACCAGTCAAAGTGCAAAGTGGTGATTGTGAAGGGGAGAATTTGGAAGAGTTTGATGAAAGAGCTTCCCCCCTCACTCAACTCTCCCACTCTCATGCAATTAGTGACCGATTCAAGCTGATTCCTCGTCTTTTCCAATCATTTAGAAGCAAAAAGAAGAGAGTACTCAAGGGAAATCACATTTCATCAAAGGATCGCAAAAAGGAATGTGATCAATTGAAGATTTGGAAGAGTTTGATGCGTTGATTCTCGCTTATTTTCCCCGGTTACTGTTAAAAGCAAATTTCAAACGAAAATAGCAATATTATTAGACCAAAGAATATGCAAACTTTAAATGAATGTTATGCAACGTTTCAACTGACCAAAACTGTCACTTATATGTAAATTTAAAGTCCTGCAAAGCATCTAAAAGTCGATAAGGATTGATGAATCTATTCAAAATGGAAAAATGAATAACTTTTAAAAA